GACACCCATATTATATGGAACAATAGTTCTGTTTTACCAGTAATGCAGGAATTACACAGACGCAATCATCATAACTTTTATTTATTAGGTAAAATACACTCTTAACATTGTATTTGAAATATAAATGATAAATTGTTTCTAGTTAATAATATATTTATTTTAAAATATTATTAGGTGATTCTGGATATCCCTTACGTCCTTGGCTATTGACACCAATTACAAATCCTACAACAAGCCCTGAAAAATATTACAACCAAAAACAAATGTCAACCAGCAGTCTAATTGAACGTTGCAACGGGGTGTTGAAAATGCGATTTAGGTACCTAAATCTGTTTCTAATGTCCATATTATATACAATTTTAACACCAAATATTTTTTTTTTATAGATGCTTATTAAAAGATAGAACTTTACATTATAAACCAGAAAAAGCATCATCAATAATAAATGCATGTATAGTTCTACATAATATGTGTATTACTAATAATATTCCTTTGGATGAACATGACATTCCAGAGTATGATAATTTGGGTATGATGGAAAACCGAGAGATATTAGCGGACAATAATCGTAATTTAGACTTAGCTCTTGATAGACAACTTAGGGAAAAAATTGTAACATACTTATTTCAAAGACATGTATAAATTTTATTAATAACATATATTATATCAATAAAATTCAATAATGCCCTATAAATACAATAATAACTTCAATAATATGCCCTCTAATAAATTCAATAAACTTCAATAATACTTCAATAATAAAAATGCCCTCAATAAATAATAATCAATAATAACTTCAATAAAAACATGCCCTATAATAATAAAACTTCAAATAATCAATATGCCCTCAATAAAATTTAAAACGATTTACACCATTACACTTATAATCAATTACCTAGATTTATCTTAATATGTCTTAATTATGTTGCATACGTCTATGTAACAAATTTAAATAACTATTCACTCACAATAATGCTGCGTTCATGGCTGATGATGACATGTTGCCGATGTTGATGATGCTGCTGATGGATTTGTAGGTACTGCGATGTGACTTATTTGTTTTTGTTGGTTCCTCCTGGAGTTGTCTTCGCTGAAGAGTGATCAATTCTTCGTTGTTGACAGTAGCCTTTGATGGTTGCCTCCCTTTGTGGAATCCAATACCGACTGCGCCAGTGTTACATGCGGCACTTCAGGGATCCAAAAGCTGGTGTACTTTGATAAATAATAATAGTCAATTAGTATGGTAATCAAATGTATTATATTAAACCAGACAAAATAAGCAGAATAATAGTGTTGATTGTAGCGAATTGTAGCTCGTTCCGAAATTGATAATCTCCGTGTAAGTTGTGTGTGATGGCTGGGCGGCTAAGCGAGTCGTGTGGTGTTCTCGTCTCTGGATACATCTACTTTGGCTGTCTCGCTGTCCCCTATATATATGGTGGCGGCGTCCTTTGAAGTGAGCGGCGCGTGTACAGTCGTCCTTGATATGGACCTCACGACTATGAAAGTGGTATTCTTAGTCGAAAACACTTTTGGGTGTGGTCGCATTCCTGGTTGTTTTTATGAGCAAATATATGATATTGCGTAATCCCATTCCTGGTTGTTATTATGAGCAAATACATGATATTGCGTAATCCCATTACAATATTCACCAGTCTTCAAGATTTCATCCCAGGACAAGCAGCTCAGTTCAACAGAGATACTACTAAAAAAGATGTCGTACCGTACAATTTCTTTAACTGATTCAGAGGTTAGTAACTACTTAGTAAATATCTTATAGCCAAAGCTAATTTGAGGCCAGTCGTAACACTACACAACGCTATAATTATAATTATTAAAATAATAATAAATGTCTGATTATAACATAGTTTAAAAAACTATATAGTAACTAAAGCATATTGGAGGTCAGTCGTGACATTACTCAAGTTATAATTCTTGGAACATAGAAAATATATAATGAAAAAACAGTAAAAAATAATATACCATGTTTTATGCTCCATAGAATGAACATTTCAGCGAATCAATTGATATGAGACCGTCTTTTTCAATAACAAAACCGGGTCTAAAACGTGCTGCAGAAAAAAAACAAGTGCGAAAAAACCTATGAAAAAAAAGCAGAATAAAATGGTAATATAAATAATATTTATTATAATGATAGCATAAATAATTAACTTTTTTTTTATAGAATGCATCATACAGAGATAATGTTACCGAACGTTTGAGATCAGAAGAATTTGATGTCGAGTTAATTAATTCGCTGACATTTAGACAAGGGGATGGTGTTGTAACAATAAAGACGCTTTGGGTAATTAGCCACTATAAGGTTGCTAACATTGAGAATGTACCATTAAAAGGCAGGTAAATACATTGGTTTAAATTTAAAAACCTATAACCTATTGATGAATCTGTTTTTTTATCACTGATTTTATCTACTTCTTTTGTTTTTAAAATAAAATAATTTGCTGTTATATATGGAAGTTCAGTGAAGCTACTGTCAGATTGTATACGAGCGACGAATCAAAAGATCAAACGCTTCATACTGGTATTCATGAGACAATGCAAACCATATTTGACAAATTACTAACCGATCCGAAGCGTCAGACTATTAAAAGCAAGACGACCGTTTGATTATTATATGAAAAAAATGAGTTTCATTTAATAAACAAAATATTATTATACATGCATGTTTTTATTTATTCAAAACTTAAAGGTCTTGGAAAACATAAACCTATTGTTGAAAGTGAAGCTTGACGGACTAATGATGTTAGCATTAATATAATAAGTAATAACACGACAATATGATTATGTATAAGTATAATATATAATAACGTACAACTGGACAATTAAACTGTGACTATACACACACACCGCGTACACTCGGTATGACAGCGTCTGTGCAAGTGAATATTACATACATCAAAGGCCCTATATATATGCACGACCGAGGTCATGTTACATCCGTGAAGAGAGTGAGTATTATGCTCGTACATAACTAGTTACTATATTGTACACACGGGTCAAGGCTGACTACATGTACTACATATTAATTGTATATTTCAACACCCATAAACTATGGTTAGTTGGAAAAAAATTTCTAATTTAACATTGTTATCAACTCTATACCATCAAATTTAATCTACTTTTAAAACATAATATTAAAACTAAAACTTATTAAAACTATTCTTTATGATTTAAGGTGAGATGTAATTAAAATAAAAAGCAAGTTTATGAATAAAAAAGTTTTATTAAAAATAAAACAATAATTATACATATTTAAATATTTTTATAATATTAGATCTTGTAAAATCATATCGGACAATGTGTTAAAATGGAATTGTAATATTTCATATACAAATGATGTGTCATCGTTCTGTAGGTGATTATAATAATTAAAATCATAGTTTTGAATATATTTTTTGGTAAATTCGTTCCTTTGACAGGTGGACGGCAGACCACGGACATCATTTTTAATCAGGTCATATTATGCAGTGTTGAAAGTATTTTGATAATTTGCTAAACGTTTTTGCTTGTCTACTACGTACAAATCTATCAAATTCTGTAATTGACGAAGCCGGTACAAATCTACATGCGACAAGGTAATGTATTCCTCGTTTAGATGTAGGGTAATTGAACTCTGTTTAACATTGATTGAATATGAAAAGGAATTGGTAATCAGAAATATTTAAACATTAATGTAAAATAAAATCTACAACATGAAGGTTTATGGAATACATCCTGCTAGTCACAATTAATACCTTAGAAATAACTTTTATTTTTTTCAAAAAACTGTAAGTCTCATAGAAATATGTTGTATTTTTATTGATGTATTTTTAAATGGTTTTCTCCAGCATTTGCTATTTGGTACTTTACAAGAATTAAAAACGTAAACAATTTTATCTATAACATTAATTGTACATGTTGACTCTAAGTGTAATTTACCCAATGCTAAGTGAGTGCTCATTCCAGCAGCTTTCACTAAAAATCTATGACTGCAAAATATATTCACATTTTTTCCTTGATTTATGTGTGCATGAGTAAGCTTAGGAACAAATTTTAAATAAAGTTTTCTGTTTGCTCATTGACAAATGCTTTGACGTTTACCGAAATTTTTAATAATTTTTTTATGGCAGATATTATGCCAGCTTCCGGATACAAAAAAGTCATCTTTCAGAAGTGAACAACACAAATGAGTCTTGAATAACATCTCATTAGCACATAAGGTGCAGTCAAGAGCTTCAGTTTGAAAGTTAGACATTTTTAACTTGAAAAGTTAAAATAAAAATCATTTAATCCAGATGTTATTTCATATTTAAAGCAACTCTTGTTAAAGTTCTTACTTATGGACAAATGAAAGGCAGATTGTTAACGCTAATTGTTTCATATAATTTGTCCATACGGGTTTCTCGTGTTGCATATTGTCTGAGATTGTACTACTGGGTGACAACAAATGTTTTTCACACACCGAGATAAAATTGAGTTTCTTTCTCATTCTGACTTTTTTGCAGACTAGTAAACAGTATTGTACATATTTTAAAATAATTCTAATTATTAGACCATTCTTGTGACAGTTAATTTTGCGCATTCGCTCAATATTTTTTTTTTTAAATGGCACACAAATCTTTGACCACAAATTATTTTTCTTTGTATTTTTTAATGAATTTTAGTGGTTGAATTTCTTTTCTAAGGTAAAAAATGCCCGAATTATAGTAATCTGATTTTATGCCATTTACATCCATCTTATTATTACGTATTTATTATTATTAACTTCGTATTTTATAATCTGTTTTACCTTGCCATTTAAAGTAAAAAAAATATTGCGCACATTAGCAAAATTAACTTATATTGTTTTAATGAGAAAAACGTTACAAGACTGTATTGAGCCCCTATTAATCTAACTGGTCCCAAATTCTCATATTGTATTCCCCTGCCACTTCCATAAGGCCTATATGAAAAGTACATTTGGAAGAAAAAAAAATAAAGAAAAAAAACAAGAAAGGACTTTAATTAGAATTATACTGTTTGTCGTCATTTTCTCCATCATCATATTCGTCTTCTTCTTCATCGTCATCTTCCTTGTCGTTATCTTCTTCATAATCACCTTCTTCAGTATCTTCCATATTTCTTCCGCTATCACGATCGTCTTCAGTTGGTGGTATTGGTGGTGGGTTTGCGATCATTAGATTGACTGCCTCTTTTGAGAAGGGCTCAGTTTTCTTGTGTTGCCTTTGTCGGCAGTTACTTATATATGGATCTGAACTAAGTAGCAGCCTATGCAATATATCTCTGTTGCAATCCACTCGTGAAAATTTTCGAGCGAAATGCAATCTGTATTGCCGATAGTGCTTGTTGCGGGCCTCAGATGCCTCTTCCGATAGCTGGCCAATTGGTAGAATTGCATGAGTTATCAATGCTGCACCATGAACCAAGACTTTGTGTATAGTTGGTGTCATGGGATGCCAACCATACAGATCTATATACATTTTTGCAGTTTCGAGTGCAAATGTATCAAATTTAACAGGATCAATGCTATAGCCACTCGAAATCACTTCAAGTATAATTTTGAATTTAACTATCAAATCTAAATTGATTCCAGTTATCCGAGAAGAACATTCCGGGTTGGCAAAAAAATCGTCTTGAAGTGTTTCCGTCATTGGTATTCCCAAATCCCGCTTTGGGAATATCTACCAAAAGTCCCATTTCATCTTTGAAGTTTCTTTGTATTTTTTCTTTTGTTTCCTTGACAACTTTTTTGTCTTCGGGAGATCGTGCTTGCCACTTTTTCAGTGGCAATTTATAAGCAACATGAAGAAGCGATTCGAAAAATCGAATTCTAGCATGAAGAATTGAGAGTCCAAACTTCAGTGATTCTACATTAATTTCTTTTGGTTGGATTAATTTATTAAAATCTTTCGAAGTTTGTCCACAAATGAAGCATCTCATGGTGGAAGCAGTATCGGTGGCTGCATTGCACACTTTCCCGTCAACCATTGTTAGTATCATTGTATGCTTTATTTTGACTGTTCCATTAGGAGTGGACACCTCTGTTTTTGTTAGGGTCTCGATTTGGTTTTCGATGTATCTTATTTCATCTTTAGTTACTAATTTAGATTCAGCGATGAAACGTATACGTATTGGTCTGCAGAATCTAGTAGAAGAAGTAACTGGGTTCTGCCATATAATTTTGATATCTTCTCCATCAATAATAACAACTTATCTTAAAGGAACAAATGAGGTTTGGAAAATATTTGCGTCACTGTCCTTGCTGTTTTGAAATTTTTGTTTGTACTGGGTCTGTTGCGATCCGTCACAACCCCATTTTGATAATAAAACCATATTTTTCTTTTCTTCTTCTGAACACGTTTTTACCACCTCTTCAACATATTTGTACAAACGCAATGCTGTATGGTCAAGCAGGGCTTGAAGTTGAACTTCGGAACAGGTTTCAGTCACTGTTATCGATTCCTCCATAGGGTAACATTCCGTTTTGGCTTTTTTTATCAATGAGTAGCAGGGATAAATGTTTTTGCTAGCACTTTGTATTACTTCCCACTGTTTTCTGGTGAAGTCTCCTTCTACAAAAATCGCTAGTGCCTCTTGTGGTGTAAATTTTTAGTTATTAATTGCTTTTGAGCAGTAGTAATAAGTTTACGACATTTTGTTGCTCTGGTTGGTGTGGTAGTCACGTATTTAATTAACTTTGCCGCGTTATTATTTCCTGATGTGCGCTGACTTACACTAGCTGCATATGTCAACTCCTCAACTGATACCTGCTCACGTAGATCTTTAGTTTTTCTGCGCTTACTACAATCACTTAGCTCTTTGAATGCTTTGGATGGTCGTCCGGGTTTCAACGTCGTTGTTGGCTTTACAGGCCAGTAAGGCAGTTCAATCGATGATGAGAGCCAATTTTCGTTGTTTTTTATGAAACGCTCGTCTTGATAACTAGCCTTAATCCATTTCTTTTTATAATCGCTCTTAAAAAATTTTAAAGAGTGACTTAAGACATTTTTTTTTTCCTCTGGACAATTTGTTATTTTCATAAGTTTTTCTTCCAAAAACAAATACTTTTCCTCTAAACTCTTACCTTTACAATCTTTTAATATTTCACATAATTGGCTTCGAGAAAATTTCTTAGACGTTACCTGAGAAGCTGCAAGCCAAAAAAACAAAAATACTTCAAATTTAAGATTTAATAAAACATTTTCTGTAACAAATTCTATAATATTCAACATAATAAAATCTGCAAAATTCTTCTAAAAATAGCCCTTATATAAGGAAAAGTTCATAACTTTCATTTTAAAAATAAATATAGATTGTAATACAGTTTTAATACTGTCTGAATTTTAGTTTTTTTAAAACTATCAAAGAACCATGTATTAAACATTTTGTTGTTGTTTTTCTCTTGTAACTCTATGTTATTTCAGTTTATAGAAAAAATGTATATGCCAAATTACCTTACAAACAATATTTTGTATAAGAAAGATATATCAATCATACTCCTAGGGTTTTTTTTTGATATGAAGTCATTTACAGAAATATAAGAAAAAAATTGAGCATCTTAGTAGATAATAATAATATCTTTGATATGCTCAGAATCAAAATGGTGGATGTGGGCGGAAAATGTTATGGTAGCTTATTATAAATAAATGTCCCGGTTTAATGCCCATCAAAAAAATATACTCCGACAAAACCATACTTATTAACAAAAACACTATTATCTAATAATTGTTGGTTAAAATTAACAGCCATATTAGACTTCATTAAAATAGTTCGTAAACGCATAATATAAGCAGTGTATCAATACATTTTTGCTACAAATTGAGTACGTACCTTCCTTTTCCATTTTCAAAATAATTTTTTTCCAATTCAACCACGCAATATCAAAATATTAAAAGATAAAAACAAATATAAATGAAAGTGCCGAAAACCAATTATATGCGTTTCGGACAATAACTAGATTACGACTGACTATGCGACGAGTGGCAAGCGTTTAAGAAATTTTACTGATAACCATTTGACAGACCGATTAGGTGGCTTTAATAATCGTAGTGCTAACGACTTTTTTGATTAACTTGCTGATTGTGACTTATGATCGGTTATATAATACAAATACTCCTATGTGTAGTTTTGAATCGTGAAATTGTAATAAAATGATTGCTTTTTCTTCTTCACTATATTCTATATTTGCACATATAATTATTTCTATAACTGTTTTGCGAAATATGTATCGTAACATCGACCTTACTTTTTCCCATTCTAAATCATCGTATTCACCTAGCTTGTTCATGGCTAATTTATTCAAATTGTTTTCCTTACAAAATAGTTTTAGTTTGATCAAGGATATATACATGTTTTCGTAAGTGGCCTTCTGTCGGTTTTTATTTTTCATTACCAAGAATATTATAAACCTGTTTTCCTGTTTGAAATAGGGTGTGTCTCCTATTACTAGTAAAGTCGGCAATATTGTACCGTTTCCAAATTGTTTTTTCAACTGATAATTTGTTCCTGTCCTAAAATTATATTGCTTGGCAATTTCTGATACTATATTATATTCTTTTGGTGAATCTATTAGTGTACCTATAGTTTCTTTTACATTACTATTTGTGATAATTTGTGTTCCTAACTTTTCGATATATTGTTCGTATGATTCGTTTTTTTTTTTCCTGAATTGAATATATGCGTGGGAGAGTATCTACATTTGAATTTAGAACTCCGGTTTGTGACGTATTTGTAATTGATTTGTTTTAGCGGCGAATGAATTAAATGTTATATGATTATTTTCTAAGGTTGAGAATATATGAAATATTCGTGGTTGTTCCGCGATAATCTGGTTTATCGTACGAGTACCGCGCCTCTCGTTCGACACGTTTTCTTTTTCCGAATTATTAACGTTTCTACTCCCATCGTTTCTCTTTTTATAACACGAGTCGATATTATGACCGTTTCGATTACAGTATGAACACGTAACGACCTGTATATTATAATTCGTTGGTGGTCGCGTAAAATTATTGCTATGAGGTGGTCGGTTGTTATTACCGTTGCTCGCATAACTAGGTCTCGAATTATTCCTACATTGAGATGCATAATGATTACCATTATAATCAGTGTCGTATCCAGGGGGGGGGGGGGGTAGGGGGTTGTAACCCCCCCCCCCCCCCCCCCCGAAAATTGTTCAATGTTGGCTTCGTTACTCAAAAATAGAAGATGGGGATTTTTGTTTGACATGTATTTTGTTTCCGCCATCAGATGGATTAGGAAAGGGTGGTCATCAAAATCCTGGGAAATTAGTTGTTGAAAAATATAATAATTGGAAAAAAGCCAAAGATTTGTTTAAGGACCACCAAAATAATCATTACCACAAACTTAGTCAAATTAAATATGATAACTTTTTGGCAATTAGAATTAAAAAAGTTGAACCAATTGACAGGCAGATAAATGAAGCTTTAAAAAAAGAAATTAATGATAACAGAGATCGTCTCCATCCAATTATTAAAAACATTTTATTTTGCGGAAATCAAGGAATTTCGTTAAGAGGGCATAGAGATTCGGGAGTTATTGATCTAAATGAACATGCTAGTACAGAAAATCAGGGAAATTTCAGAGAGCTAATTAAATTTCGAATGGATTCTGGTGACAATGTGCTTAAAAATCATTTAGAAACTACCAATAAAAATGCCACTTATCTAAGTCCATTGTTCCAAAACGAAATAATATCAATCTGCAATAAATTAATTCTAGAACATTTGGTAGCTAATGTTAATAAATCTAAATCGTTCGCCATATTGGCTGATGAAACGACAGATGTTTCTAAAAAAGAACAAATGACATTATGTGTTCGTTATGTCGATTTAAATGCAAATAAAATTAGAGAAGACTTCTTACAACAGTGGCGGTTCTGGCATAAAATTTTTGAGGAGGCAACAATTTTGTACCCTTCTAGACATGTAAGCGCAAATCCCCCAATTCTCAAAACTCATTAATTTTGTTTAAAAACAATATATTTTTTTAAAAATCTGTTAGAAGATTTTCATTTTCACTATTTCTTATATTTAAAGTACCTATCTAGTAAGTTACGCTTTGGTATTACTATTTTCTGTCATAATAATATATAATATACAATATACTATATAGGTATCTAAAATTTAAACAAAACTGAGACACATAAACCTATTAAGTATCTAGTTGAAAGTTACAAATTGATGCCAAAGAAAAATTTTCAAAAAATAATTCAAATAAAAAAATGTATTGATCTAAATAACAAAAAAATGTGGTTTCTAATTTAACTAGTGTCTTTCTAGTAACAAAACTTAAGAAAAATAAAATTAAGCTGATATAAATAATTAAGAGTATAAAAACAATATTATGCTTTATAATTTATATATTAATTCAATAGTTCTATCTTTTTTACTGGCATATATATTAATAATGTCTTCAAAAAATGGTTCATTTTCTTTGAGCTGTTGGATTAATAATTTTTCAATGGATATTGTAGACAAAGAACTTAAACGCTGTTGAGATGTACTGTTTCTTAAATAAGTCTTAATACGTTTCAGACAAGAAAAACTTCTTTCGACAGAAACACTAGTGGATGGAATGGTTAAAATTAATGAAAATAACTTATATACTTCAGGCATAATTTCCTTTAAGCCATCTTTTTCAAAAATCTTGATCATATCATAAATGTGTGGTAGGTTATGATAATTTACGTTGTTATACAACACTTCTAATTCTACTTTTAATTTGTCCACATTATGAAAAATATTAGAATAGGTTTTAATAAGATTATTTAAAGCACAGGTGGGGAATATACCACAATAATCTTTAAATTTTGAAACGTCAGCTAATTGTAAAAATATTAATCTATCAGTATCATTAAATCTAACATTTAACTGCATTAAAATACTATCTATAATTTCATAAAATAAAATTCTATAACTTGATTCCATATTGGCATTGTTTCTAGAAGGTTTGGGCAATTTAGTTAAAGTAACTGCATTATTAAATATTTTTAAAAATTCTGTTTCGTTTCTTCTGTTTTTTATAAGATCACATACAATACTTATTTTCCTTAAACAATATTCTATGTCAAATGATTTGTTTTGCAATGTGTTAAATAAGTTATCTGTAATTAAAAATATACCACTAAATATGTGTGCTAAAAATGCAAATTCAAAAGATTTAAGATTTTTTAAATGTCCAACTGATCCACAAATAGAATTAGCTGATGACTTAGCATCATTTATTATAGCTTCAAAAACTGCTTTAAAGTTAATCCACTCATTAACTAATAAATGCAAAATTTTTGATCTAGATGCCCACCTTGTCTGTACAAACTGAGGAATGCGTTTACCTATAATACTGTCAACTACATTAGTACGGGATGTTGAATTGTGAAAAAAAGCAGATATTCCAGTTAAATTTGCAAAAAATATGCGACATATCTTGTTACTATTACATCCATGTTGCAAAACTAAATTTAATTTATGTGCAAAACAATGAGTAAATAATGCATTTGGTGCAATTTCTTTTATTCGAGATTGTAAACCATTTAAATGCCCAGCCATTACACTAGCACCATCATAGCATTTACCAACCAACTTTTTTTCAATACTAAACTCTTGGAAAAGGGAAGTGATTAAATTAAATAAACCTTCAGAAGTATGGTCTTCGCTGACATCATAAAAACCAAAAAAACGTTCAACCAACTCAGACTTATTAGTTATATAATATATATCTTAAAATTACAGAACATTGTGTTTTCTGAGTTATGTCTGTAGTATCATCGACTTGTACAGAATAAAACATGCTCTGTTTAATTTCATTTTTAATATGATCAACTAAATATTCTGGTATACATGAAATTATTTCATTTTGTATGATTTTTGATGTACCTGTAAATTTATTCTGCAATGATTTGTATTGATTTTGTACTTCTAATGAGCATCTACTAAAATGTAATTCAACTAACTCTTTAAAATTGCCTTTATTTGTAGAACTAGAACTTCCATCATGCCCGCGAAAAGCCAACTCTTGTTTAGCCAGAAATAATACTAAATCAATTATGTGTTCCACGCATAACCTATTTAATCTTACATTTTCATTATATCGCAATTTAAATAATTTTTCATGTTCACTTAATATATCTATAACACTAGTAGTATTTTTTTCTAATTTTTTTAGATTTAAATAATTGTGCACATGGTCTTTGGAACTTTCGTGTCTCAGAATACTTCTGGATAGATTTTTAAAATCAGCGTATCCTAATGTAATCCATACAGAATTTGACTGACTTAATAAAATGCATGGCCAACAGAATAATCTTTGTAAATAGAAACTTCCACACACCCAAGGATGTTTAGTATATACAATTGGATTGAAGGACCTACAAAACACTTTTGAGCCATTTTTGTCTGCAGACAAATATGTCAGAGCAGGAGTAGAATGAAACAAAAGAATAATAATAATTAGTTGTACAATAATATGCTGAATGCCTACATTCTAGTTGTTCCCAAACCTAGAGAATGATTAATCATCAACCACTGAGGCGCTGCAAGTCACAGCCTGTGACCATAGATAAGTAAACTAATAGATGGGAAACTGCCATGGAGAAAATGTTGTCATTGCAAACTGCGCTCCAGGTGCCTGATGTATGTACTAGTGTTCAAACAGGGGTTCTCATTATAGTCTTCGTGTTCATTTCAGGGCATCTCATTTTTTTTTTTTAACTTAGATATTTTTTTCTTTATTGAATAATCTACAATCTATACATTGTTTTTATAATAAGTAGGTTTGATAATTGACAAAATATAAATAACATGAATAATAAGCTTAGTCTATCCCTTAGTTCCTTAATATATAATTAAATTAAAAAATAAAATTAAAAGTAAGGAACGTTATGATAAAAATGAAAATCCACAAGAACTATACGTTAATGATTTACCTTGCGCAAGGTAAACCTACTCCTGCTCTGACATATTTGTCTGCAGACAAAAATGGCTCAAAAGTGTTTTGTAGGTCCTTCAATCCAATTGTATATACTAAACATCCTTGGGTGTGTGGAAGTTTCTATTTACAAAGATTATTCTGTTGGCCATGCATTTTATTAAGTCAGTCAAATTCTGTATGGATTACATTAGGATACGCTGATTTTAAAAATCTATCCAGAAGTATTCTGAGACACGAAAGTTCCAAAGACCATGTGCACAATTATTTAAATCTAAAAAAATTAGAAAAAAATACTACTAGTGTTATAGATATATTAAGTGAACATGAAAAATTATTTAAATTGCGATATAATGAAAATGTAAGATTAAATAGGTTATGCGTGGAACACATAATTGATTTAGTATTATTTCTGGCTAAACAAGAGTTGGCTTTTCGCGGGCATGATGGAAGTTCTAGTTCTACAAATAAAGGCAATTTTAAAGAGTTAGTTGAATTACATTTTAGTAGATGCTCATTAGAAGTACAAAATCAATACAAATCATTGCAGAATAAATTTACAGGTACATCAAAAATCATACAAAATGAAATAATTTCATGTATACCAGAATATTTAGTTGATCATATTAAAAATGAAATTAAACAGAGCATGTTTTATTCTGTACAAGTCGATGATACTACAGACATAACTCAGAAAACACAATGTTCTGTAATTTTAAGATATATATTATATAACTAATAAGTCTGAGTTGGTTGAACGTTTTTTTGGTTTTTATGATGTCAGCGAAGACCATACTTCTGAAGGTTTATTTAATTTAATCACTTCCCTTTTCCAAGAGTTTAGTATTGAAAAAAAGTTGGTTGGTAAATGCTATGATGGTGCTAGTGTAATGGCTGGGCATTTAAATGGTTTACAATCTCGAATAAAAGAAATTGCACCAAATGCATTATTTACTCATTGTTTTGCACATAAATTAAATTTAGTTTTGCAACATGGATGTAATAGTAACAAGATATGTCGCATATTTTTTGCAAATTTAACTGGAATATCTGCTTTTTTTCACAATTCAACATCCCGTACTAATGTAGTTGACAGTATTATAGGTAAACGCATTCCTCAGTTTGTACAGACAAGGTGGGCATCTAGATCAAAAATTTTGCATTTATTAGTTAATGAGTGGATTAACTTTAAAGCAGTTTTTGAAGCTATAATAAATGATGCTAAGTCATCAGCTAATTCTATTTGTGGATCAGTTGGACATTTAAAAAATCTTAAATCTTTTGAATTTGCATTTTTAGCACACATATTTAGTGGTATATTTTTAATTACAGATAACTTATTTAACACATTGCAAAACAAATCATTTGACATAGAATATTGTTTAAGGAAAATAAGTATTGTATGTGATCTTATAAAAAACAGAAGAAACGAAACAGAATTTTTAAAAATATTTAATAATGCAGTTACTTTAACTAAATTGCCCAAACCTTCTAGAAACAATGCCAATATGGAATCAAGTTATAGAATTTTATTTTATGAAATTATAGATAGTATTTTAATGCAGTTAAATGTTAGATTTAATGATACTGATAGATTAATATTTTTACAATTAGCTGACGTTTCAAAATTTAAAGATTATTGTGGTATATTCCCCACCTGTGCTTTAAATAATCTTATTAAAACCTATTCTAATATTTTTCATAATGTGGACAAATTAAAAGTAGAATTAGAAGTGTTGTATAACAACGTAAATTATCATAACCTACCACACATTTATGATATGATCAAGATTTTTGAAAAAGATGGCTTAAAGGAAATTATGCCTGAAGTATATAAGTTATTTTCATTAATTTTAACCATTCCATCCACTAGTGTTTCTGTCGAAAGAAGTTTTTCTTGTCTGAAACGTATTAAGACTTATTTAAGAAACAGTACATCTCAACAGCGTTTAAGTTCTTTGTCTACAATATCCATTGAAAAATTATTAATCCAACAGCTCAAAGAAAATGAACCATTTTTTGAAGACATTATTAATATATATGCCAGTAAAAAAGATAGAACTATTGAATTAATATATAAATTATAAAGCATAATATTGTTTTTATACTCTTAATTATTTATATCAGCTTAATTTTATTTTTCTTAAGTTTTGTTACTAGAAAGACACTAGTTAAATTAGAAACCACATTTTTTTGTTATTTAGATCAATACATTTTTTTATTTGAATTATTTTTTGAAAATTTTTCTTTGGCATCAATTTGTAACTTTCAACTAGATACTTAATAGGTTTATGTGTCTCAGTTTTGTTTAAATTTTAGATACCTATATAGTATATTGTATATTATATATTATTATGACAGAAAATAGTAATACCAAAGCGTAACTTACTAGATAGGTACTTTAAATATAAGAAATAGTGAAAATGAAAATCTTCTAACAGATTTTTAAAAAAATATATTGTTTTTAAACAAAATTAATGAGTTTTGAGAATTGGGGGATTTGCGCTTACATGTCTAGAAGGGTACAAAATTGTTGCCTCCTCAAAAATTTTATGCCAGAACCGCCACTGTTGTAAGAAGTCTTCTCTAATTTTATTTGCATTTAAATCGACATAACGAACACATAATGTCATTTGTTCTTTTTTAGAAACATCTGTCGTTTCATCAGCCAATATGGCGAACGATTTAGATTTATTAACATTAGCTACCAAATGTTCTAGAATTAATTTATTGCAGATTGATATTATTTCGTTTTGGAACAATGGACTTAGATAAGTGGCATTTTTATTGGTAGTTTCTAAATGATTTTTAAGCACATTGTCACCAGAATCCATTCGAAATTTAATTAGCTCTCTGAAATTTCCCTGATTTTCTGTACTAGCATGTTCATTTAGATCAATAACTCCCGAATCTCTATGCCCTCTTAACGAAATTCCTTGATTTCCGCAAAATAAAATGTTTTTAATAATTGGATGGAGACGATCTCTGTTATCATTAATTTCTTTTTTTAAAGCTTCATTTATCTGCCTGTCAATTGGTTCAACTTTTTTAATTCTAATTGCCAAAAAGTTATCATATTTAATTTGACTAAGTTTGTGGTAATGATTATTTTGGTGGTCCTTAAACAAATCTTTGGCTTTTTTCCAATTATTATATTTTTCAACAACTAATTTCCCAGGATTTTGATGACCACCCTTTCCTAATCCATCTGATGGCGGAAACAAAATACATGTCAAACAAAAATCCCCATCTTCTATTTTTGAGTAACGAAGCCAACATTGAACAATTTTCGGGGGGGGGGGGGGGGGGGGGGGGGGGGGGGGTTACAACCCCCTACCCCCCCCCCCCCCTGGATACGACACTGATTATAATGGTAATCATTATGCATCTCAATGTAGGAATAATTCGAGACCTAGTTATGCGAGCAACGGTAATAACAACCGACCACCTCATAGCAATAATTTTACGCGACCACCAACGAATTATAATATACAGGTCGTTACGTGTTCATACTGTAATCGAAACGGTCATAATATCGACTCGTGTTATAAAAAGAGAAACGATGGGAGTAGAAACGTTAATAATTCGGAAAAAGAAAACGTGTCGAACGAGAGGCGCGGTACTCGTACGATAAACCAGATTATCGCGGAACAACCACGAATATTTCATATATTCTCAACCTTAGAAAATAATCATATAACATTTAATTCATTCGCCGCTAAAACAAATCAATTACAAATACGTCACAAACCGGAGTTCTAAATTCAAATGTAGATACTCTCCCACGCATATATTCAATTCAGGAAAAAAAAAAACGAATCATACGAACAATATATCGAAAAGTTAGGAACACAAATTATCAC